TGTTCGCATAGATTGTTTTATATCTGGCTGATCTCTTTCCGACTTACACATAACAGATCCAGTGCCATTAAAAGAATATATGATAACACATGACGGTTAATCTTCTGTTTGGATTGAACCTCCATTTTTTCAAAGGATACTTCTTCGGACATCTGTCCAAAATTAATCCTGCCGTTACAAAGTCAACATTTTTCTCCCCAAGCGAGGCAATTATTTTTCCAGTTTGTTGTACGTTTTGCCACATAAATTACAGTTTATTTTCACCTGCTTACGGAATTTCTGTTTGCGACTTTGATTTTCAAATTTGTTCATCTTCTCCGACTGATCGAGGTCACCCATAACTTTCAGCTGTGCACTTGTGGCTTCACAACTATGGTATATGGCGATGCCTTGATGAAAGTTAGCGTCGAACATTCTTTTCCGAGACTGGTTGTCTCTCACATGACTGACTATGCGGTCACGTAACAAAGACTTGTGTAAAGATTCACAAAAATTACAAGATTTGGCTGTTTCGTAGTATAGTAACATATTAATTAATGTTCTCACCTGGTTTCTGGTTTACTTTATTGAATACATATAGTTCATATATGTCTCATTAGCCTGTCCGATGGCTTGTTGGTCGAATTTGGCTATTGCTGTATTCAAAGCACATTTGAAAGATATGGAATTCCATGCCAAGTGATTTTCGACGCTGGGCCCCAGTTTATGTCCTCGTCATTAGAGAGAGAGAGAGAGAGAGAGAGAGAGAGAGAGATGGGATACATAAGAGGCGAGAATTACGCCCCTTAACGTTCAGTAGGGAGCATGTATTAAGTGATAATGCAAAGGAGAATACATTAAACGATAAGGTAAGAGATGCCACAGTTCAGTGGATGTTTTATGTTTAATGTTGTCTAACTAAAGACCTGTATTAGTTCTTCAACGAATCTCTTTATGTTAGTCACTGAAATGTATCATTTGAATATGAAAGGGAGCATAGAATTATGTAGTCAAATATATTTTTCAAGAGTTATCATTACTTTTGAATCTCCTGAGGCAACCACAGAAGGAGAATCAAAGTTTGGAAGTTGTCTTCAAATTCTCGCATGTTAACACAAGTATTTTTAAATATATTTTTCACATTTCAGTAATCGTGTGTGAAAGAATATATGTAAATATCATAAAAGATCGTGGAATAAAACTTTCGACTCTAATCAAAATTATTCTTTCTCTGATTATAATTATTCTTTATTTTTCTAAAATCTTTTTATGCTTCGTTCACAAGGTTTTTTCTTTGTGAAAGAAGTTTCTGATTCATTTGTACAAGAACATTTTCTTTGCTTCCTGATCAATAGAAAATAATAATTTCTATTTATAAATAGAGTTGTTAATTAGCTAAATACTAGATATCACTAACGAATCCTTTGTTAAAAACTTTCTCAGTAATTGTAGGTTAATATTAATTTAATGCTAACATACTCATCTCCTGACCGAGACGTAAGATGCGTGCTTGCGAAATCTTTAGTTGAGGATATAGCGTTAGATAGGGGGTCTATATATTTTTTCTCCGTTCGCACGTTTTTAGATGAAAAACAAAATTGTTCAGCTTTTAAAGGCCAACCGCTGCGATTTTATATTGATCAAACCCTTATTTAGGATCGGAAATATCTCTCTTTGCTTTGTTTAGACCCAGTTTTTGAAGGTAATGGAGTTATAAAGTAGGCTAAAATGCATTTAAGGAACTTTTCACTCAGAATTATACATTCATCAGTGAACGCGAAAAGCAAATTGTTTCACATTTATTAAGCAATTTAGCAGAGAAACGCAATGTACTTCACATAAATGCCTATATTTCTATGGCCCATCTTTAGAACGGAAACAATCATGATGTTTCAACAGGATAATACCCACCAACATGATATCTCTGTTACTCAACATGATGTTCAACAACTTCACTAGAGCTGCATTTCCCTGTGGAACACACATGGAATATGATGCATGATTCTTTCAGTTTGCCTCATACCACTCTTGTTGTACTGCATCAAAAGGTGTAAGTAACGTTGCAAAAAGCGTTGTAAAATGGTATTTGCCACTGTTAACGGCCAAAGAAGATATACACTTTATTAATATGGCATATTGATGAGGCCCTTAAATTAAAACTTGTGTTTGTGGTTATCTTTTCTTTTTATTTTCTGTATTCCTACAGGATGTGGGCGATCATGGTTTTCTACGGTGTCCTGTCTCTTATTAACTTTACTGTTTCTCTTTGTCCTTGTTACCATTCAGTCACATAAGTTTGTTAAGTAGATTATTCAATCTTTCCTCCTGTTTCCTTCCTGTGAATGTTACATTCTCTAAGCCCTCTTTTCCCATTATGTGTCCCACAAAAATTTCAAATGTTTCTTATTGAAAGTATGTTTTCTTGTAGATTCTGTTTTCTTTCTGATTCCCTCATTGCTCGGTAGAAACACATTTCTGTCGCTTCAAGCTTCTTTATCTGTGAAAAAATTGTCCATTACACATTGTCGTATAGAATACTGGCGCAGTATTGTTTTATTTTGTTTTTAAGGTTATATCCCTATCTCTTAATATTTTGCTTATTTAAGGAAACAATTTTAATCTAATTTGTGCCCTACCAATTAGAACACCATTTCCTTTATGGAAAAAGGGAACACAGGTTCGTGTTGGGAAGCATATTTTTAGAAGGACTTCTTGATATCTACGCCAGTTGGTCTTAATTTACACTGTTGAAAATAACAACGATGTCAACTTAAACACGGGCACCTATTGAATATGGCGTTTATAATAAACAATAATGTTGGATTAAAAAAAACATTAATTAATTTATATTACATTGCGTTCTCTAACTGTGGATACGCTGTTATGGCCTTTTTGCAAATATCAATAGTTTAGGCGTCTCGGCGTCGGTTTGACGAACTAGTCTGGTTGACAGTTACATATTTGTGGCCTTTTGTTAATGATTTTGTTCTTATTTAACGTGCATTGAGTGTGAAATGATACTAACTCCCTTCAAATTCAGAGGACCGAGGAAAAAGAAGGAAAGAAATTGAGATTTCACAGAAATTAACAGGTGAGCTGAGGAAGAGGCAGGAAAGAAACTCATGACGCTATGTGAAAATATTTATGGACCAATAAAAACCTTGCCTTTACAGAAATTAACCGATGAGCAGAGAAGAAGGAAAGAAGGTATCGAAATTCTTTTTGATATAAAATGAGGAGAAAAATTAAATCCAAAGTGTGTCTGAAGTCATGTAAAAGGCTTCGTTTCAGTTCCTCACGACCAGCGTTGAAGAAATCGTCTGCGTAAAATTGCTCGGCAATTATTATAGGTCTTTAGCCAGGCTTACAACACTTTAAAGAATTTTCTATCAAAAATCCAAGAAATCTAAGTATTTCAAACTATTTCTCTGTGTCTGCTTTTGAACGTGTTTAAATCATATATCACTTCAGTGAGCAACGAACTTTTTTACCTTTATCTTAAACATTTTTGAATATTATTTTGTGTCAGATCATTTTAATCTGTTGTATGAACATTTTTCTTCTTGACAATACGTTAAAATACGGACTTTAAGAATTTTGATTTATTTTCCTGAAACGAGCTACTGACATCACTTCAAGCCTGCAAGTTTGTGAATAAATTACATATCTTGTTTTATTAAAATTACTCATATGTTTCCTTGTCATTATCATCCTTCAGTAATCTTCTTGGCGTGGGTAAATCAACTGTTCATTTTAACCCTTAAGCCCCACGCCACTATAGATGAATAGAGGAAACTATAATGGCGACTAGAAAAGTCTAACAACTATAGGTGGCGGTAGTAGCAGCGTTTGTTCTGCTGTGTAGACGTTCTTGTAAACTCGGCATGTGTCACAAATGGGGTACAGAAGGTGAAGGAATAAAATCTTGAAAAAATGTTTTAGCAACTCTAGAGTGGAAGGAAGAGGAAGCAGAAGATGAATTGAGAAAGGGAGATGAAAATGGAGAATAAAAAACAGGAGACGAAAAGGGGAAAAGAAAAAAGAAAGAAAGGAAGAAAGAGAAAGCTGAAAGAATATGAACAAAAATCTAATTATGTATGTATCGTTTTAGGAGAACAAACGTGATAGTTTTTTAATAGGATTATTGACGAAGCTTAGCTAAGTGAGCTTCGAACTCACTAGTCAGTCATAATTCAAAACCAATTTACCATGACGAGACACCCACGGTTTTTTCAATGGGCGGTATCAATTTATCCAGAAATGACCTGGTACCCTCAGCAATTGCATTTCTCTGATTCTATCTCTCTTAGTGCAACGAGGACGTACATCTTAGAAGATGAATCCTGGGGGACCAGGTTTCAGTTAATTGGTTTCCAGCTCCGTTATAAAGAATGTCGGCAGAGATCTTGTCTGCAGAGAAACTACTGAAAAATTCTACATTTTTTTTTGCAAAACGTCAGAAGAAATAAATATTTTAAATTTCGTTTGGTAAAGAAACGATGCGTCACAGTAAAATATGTCATTGCACCTGGCATTTTTCTGACGACAAAGTTTCTATTCCTGACCGTTTATTGCTAAAGTAGATATCCGGGCAAATGTTGTCATCCGATAAAAAATGTGTACTTCCTGAAGAATGACAACATCCGGTAATGTGCAAAAATACACTAAGAGACCAGGAGAACTAACAAAATGGTGGAGCACAGTGTGTGCATACTAGCGAAAGAAAAAGTGGAGGCGGTCAATAAAAGCAGAATAAATTAGATGTACATAATAGTGGATGACACAAACACACACATATAGTTATGTATGAAAAATCAGGATATAAGTCGGAAACCAAGTTTAACAGATTCTTATCAAGCTTAATTCTATATGTAGACATTTGAAACGCGACGCTGGTCAAGTTTGTTTGCATATACTATCAACACCCGAACAGATTGATAACGCCAGGAAAACTTATATTTCTTTTTACGGAAAATCAATGAAAGTGTAACCACGAACAATCTATCTATCTATCTAGCTAGCTAGCTCAGTCTGTCCATATCTATCTATCTATCTATCTATCTATCTATCTATCTATCTATCTATCTATCTATCTATCTAATGAGGATGTAGAAAAAGGACACGTAAATAAATATATATGTATATATTCGAATTGCTTCTCAAAATTTCAATTAATTTTCACCGTTTCTTTCGAAGTAGCAGAGACTATGCGGCTCGCTGTACATGATCTCTGTTATCATTTCTCCCGAAAAGGAGTGCTGCTTCTAAACAAGTCCTCATCACTATAATCAAATCATATGTATGGGTAGTTTGGAACTGAACTATTAGGTCCTCATTGTCGAAATCGACAAGAGGATTCACTATATATATATATATATATATATATATATATATATATATATATATATATATTAGCGATTGGAAAAACAACAACAACATAGTTTACAAATTCAAGTGATTGTATCTCCAATATTTATGTTGGTCACACCACAAACTCGCTTTCACGGCACTTGACTCTATATTTGAATGATAGTTCTAGAATTTTTAGGCATTTAAAACTACATGCCTGTCCGCATACACAATTCCGGAAAATCCTTGTTGAAAACACAACTATACTTAAACATAAAAACAATAAACAAAAACTAAAAATTCTTGAAGCTATATACATAAAACAGTTGAAACTTAACCTGAACAAAATAAATTATGAAAACTCCACAAATGTACTTAAATGCCTATAATTGATAACAGAAGCCATTTGTTTATACCAACGGCTTCCCATACTTATCATTCTCGTTTTTCTATTATAATATAGTACGAAACGGCCGTCCAGTGCGTTCTGCATTCTGTTGAGGGTTCTTCTAGACTCGATGAATTACTTAATTATGATTATTTCAAATACTACTAATAATTTATATCTATCTATCTATCTATCTATCTATCTATCTATCTATCTATATATGAATGTATATATATATATATACACACAGTGCGCTGGATAAAATATAGTCTAAATGACGCAAAAAAGAAAATAATACTTATATCTCATTTTAACAGTTATATTTACCAAAATACAAAGAAAATATCTTGAAATATTAAAGAGTAAATTTATTAATCGAAATTTATTTATCAAAATGCAAAGAAAATATCTTGAAATGTTAAAGGGTAAATTTATAATATCAAGTGAAGAGGTAGTGCTGCCCGGGGTGAAGAGAGATGCCCTTACCAACAAATTCGGGAGTTCGTTTTTTTATCAGAACGATCAGAGTGATTTTCCCGAGGTGCTGTACCTTCGTAATCACCATTAGACTCATCTAACTCTTTCCGAATCCTCTGCACTGTCTTCAGATTGATGCTCAAACACCCTGAAATGTTCATATTAGAGAATGCTAAGCAGTAGAGCTTTCAAATTTCTGGTGGAGTGAATTGCGTCATGGTGCTCTTTTCCTCACGGACTGACCCTACTAACCTGCGCAGTCGACAAAATCAAAAGTAAACAACGCGCATGCGTGAAATTAAAAATATAAAATGGCGACAATCTACCCATCGAACCTTGTATGTATGTGCGTGTGTACATGTATACTTCCTTAGTCTAGCACAGGATTAAAATTTTAAGTATCCAGTGAGTATTTGTCTACGTACTCTTAATAATCGACAATGATAATGGTTTGCTGACTCTCCTTCTAAGACAAAGAGACTAGTATCTATATATGTATGTATGCATCTATGTATGTATGTATGTATGTATGTATACATATGCATGTTGATACTTGTTTAGTTTAGGTTAGTACGACACAAGGCCATTCATACAAATTTCACTTTTTCTGAAAGGTAAAAAGTATTCTGTGTAAAGCTGAGTTTCTTTATTTGATTCTAAAAACCGATGATCCGTTTTAGGAACTTTAAATGAATAATTACGAAACCCGAAAGAGCGAAAAGCTTTCAATTCTGCTGGGGAAAGCTTGGTCAATTTGCTTATCCTTTCAATAATTTATCTCTTAATGAACTGACAAACTCTGTGCTCATCAATCGTCGTTATCTTAAGTGTCTTTATTTTGATTGTTAATTTATTCCTTGCTGCTTGAATCGATTTATCCTCACTTCCGGGAACGTCACGGCATCCGTTTTCATGCGAAGAGAGTGGCGTTTCTATAACATCGACATGTATCACAGATGAGGAAAAATACAAAGGAAAGTGAATCTGAAGAGAATTGATAGATGAGGAGAATAAGAAAGAAAGGCGGGCGGTAATTAGCATTTGTGGAGGGGATACAGATTAACACCCTAAGGCGATTTAAAAAAAAAAATCAGAATTGTTTCAATTGTGAATTAATTTTTTATTTCACGTATGCAATATGCCTATACTGAAAAAATATTTTTTTCGTTTTTCACTAATTTAACGGCGAAAAATCATACAAAAAATTTAACACGAATGACAAGATCGGATTAATTTCGATTTATCTTGCCCATAGCAAAAAAAAAAAAAAAAAAAAAAAAAAAAGAAAAAAAAACAAAAAAAAAACAAACTCTAGCACTAATCAATCACCGATAGCGCACATTTTCCTTAAGGGCTTTTTTCTTCTCAGAAGGAGGAAGTTCAATGGAAAATTACCCCGGAGTGAATCAGGTAAAATAACAGAAAGACTTCCAGATTTTGTAACCGGAAGAGACTCTCCGATCATTTCCAAATAGGTAATTATGCAGTATAGGAATTTTGAATGTGTAGAATAGTACGTCGGACGTATTATACGGATGGACGTACTATGACACAACACCATAAAGGAGGTAGATAAACACGACCCCGTGTATGTCTGGTCTACGGGGAATTTTTGCGGATGCCAACGGGCTCGGAATCGCCCCACATAAAAATCAGCCTTGTGCCACATCCTGCCTTGTTGGGAGGCTTTGGTAAATATTAGGCGCTCTTGACTTGGCAAATATTTTATACTTGTCACTCTAACACTTTACAGCATGAACAAACTTAATCTTCTGGAAAACAATCATCATCACGCTGTCTTATTGAATCGTTATCTGAGTGAGAATCAGCTGAAATCATCGGATTCGCTGACAAATCATTTCATTTTCAACAGCAATTCCACGTAAGGGGTATTTCAGTAATAATAAATTTCAATAAACGGAAAATCAACTCTTTCAGTGGTAACCAACTCTTATAAACGAAAAGCATGTGACTTATCGCAAAAACTCCTGCAAGTGCACTAAATCACTATGTAGTTGTTGATAGTCTAAAAGGTCAAAACAAAAGAAAACCCCTGCAATATAAAAGAATATTCGATCACAATACGATGCGAGAATTTATGAGAAGAAGATCCTCCATCTTCTGTTTAAAAAGAGAACAACAGATTTCTAAAGGAACATTACTGATAAATAAAAATACGCTACCAAAAATGACGCTAAAATTATTAAATTAATGCTCTTTTATGTGCACTTTAGACCGTTGGCGATTACGGCTCTCTACAACCTCCTATTCCTTGTCGTTTTTAGCAACGTTTGTTCCTTTGTGAAGCCCCTCATCCACATTGCTTATTCGGTCCATCATGTTCATTTCTGTTGCGTCTAGTGTAAGGAAGTTATTCAACATTCAATGCCATATGGGAAATTACATAGCAATTCACACTTTTTCCTTGTTTCTAATAAAATTATCCTGTTTCTTAATGTTTTACTTATATTTTGGAAGGCATCTTTTTCTATTCCAAAGTGCCTTCGAATTTCACTGCTACATTTTCCGTCTTCTGTTAAAAGAGTTCCTAGATGGGGTTTGTTTGATTTTGATATCTCCAAATCTTAGTTCGCATTTCGGCTTTTAATCTTGCTGACAACCATACAACCTGTCTTTGATTAGTCCTTTATTCTTGCATCCCTTTATTACCTGGTCTAGGGGGTCATTCAGGATTTCTATGTCTGCCATCAACACAGTGTCGTCAGCGTACCTTATTTTTTAGAAACCAGCCAGGACCGAAAAATATTATACGATATTAATCCCCCAAATACTATGAATGGACACCCTCATCGGATAATTCCAAATAATAGTCCATCATTACTCACAATCTACTACTAACTAAAAGAAAACAAAGAATAAAAAATAATGGAAAGAAATACATATTGAGAATACTTTATCAGAAATTCTTGGGACCAGAAGTGCTTCGGTTTTCAGATTTTTTTCGGATTTTGGAATACAGGCTATTTAATTTGTATATATGGAACCCAAAACGATATTCTTTTACATTTCATAGCACAGCTTATACCCTGAAGGTATTTTATATTAGCGGCATGTTGTTCACTCCGACGCTGACGAATCCACTCCAACAATACACGATTGAGGTCATCATTTTTTGCTCTGGGCAGGGTTTTTCTATTTTTCATTAATTTCTGTTCATCCCTTTCAGCATAAAAAATTAACTATTTCTCCTTCTGTTTCTCCAACAACTCCAGGACCTCCACCTTCTCTATCTGATGCTGATTCAAACGATACTGATGATGAATTATTATGTAAAGAAACATCAATTGACAAAATAGAATGTACTAAATACGAAGATTTGAAATACAGAGATGCGAAAATTCTTAATGAATTAGAGGTAGGTAATGCACTTTCCTGGAACTAGATGCCTGGAACTTATGCCTGGAGCGGGGGCCTTGCCGTATAACACACCCATGTGCCATACTCTAGCTTTAGAGTAAAGTAAACGTGAATGAAAGTCTTTAATTAGTAGAGTATGCCACATGGGTGTGTTATACGGCAAGGCCCCTGCTCCAGGCATAAGAGCGGTGCATAACTACCTAAGGCTAAAGGCAAGGCAAGGCAAAGCTATATTATTTAATGAGGTCAGTAGGTCAAAAGTTTAAATATCGTTGAAAACATGTTTGTACACGTCTACAGATGTACAGATAGTATCAGATTACAGTAATAGATAGAATAGATATCGATTACACAAAAGATAAGAGGATAAGTATAAAAAAGCAATTCTTAGTAAACACGTCAGCATTTAGAATACAACAAAAGGAGAGACAGCATCTTAACCGGCTCTAACCCGAAGCAAAAGAGAGAAGAGAAATCACCGTTCCTGTGCAGAAAAAAAAGAGAAATGGACAATATTGAAAACATTAATGAAACTATACCTACACCAACAACTCCAGGACCTCCACCTTCTCTATCTGATGCTGATTCAAACGATACTGATGATGAATTATTATGTAAAGAAACATCAATTGACAAAATAGAATGTACTAAATACGAAGATTTGAAATACGGAGATGCGAAAATTCTTAATGAATTAGAGGTAGGTAATGCACTTTCCTGGAACTAGATTTTGTGGTCCGTTTACTCGTGATTTACATGCTGATCCTTTGAATGCTGTCGATGCATGTTGTAAAACGCATGATATTGATTATGATACTGACATTGCTACTATTGATGCTGATTATAAATTTTTAAATTGTTTACATAATATTGATACTCCAAGTAGTCTTGTTATAAGTAATATCTTTAAAGGTAAAGTCCTACTTGATTCTATAACTAATTCATTCTCTGACCGAATGTTACGTAGTGGTAAACGATTACGAGAAGAATCAGTGGAAGAAGGTGTTGAAAAATATTTACGTACTGATACTTCTGAAAACGGTGATTCAGAAATGGGAGATCCACATGTTGGACCGTCTCCAGGTGGGGCAGCTATGGTTGAAGGAGGAGACCAACCAGTTAAAGTTGGAGATGCTAATCCTATCATTCATAAACAGTTTAGTCGTTCATTTATACACTATATAGACCATGAACATGGGGGATTTGATATCCTAACTGCTAAAAGAAAGGAAAACATTATACATTTAGATTTAAAAATGCGCATGGTTGAAATACCATATAATTACTTAAATGCTAGTATGACAAATGTTGAATTGGAAACATATTTAAGTGTTGCAAAATCATTTCGGGTTAAAAGCTGTGGATTCCAAATAACAAATATAGTTCCAATCACAGATGAACTTGGACAAGTACAAAATACAACTGTAACAAATACTACGTTTAATACCAGACCATGGATGGCAGCATACGTAGATTCAAAATACGGATTATTTCAACAACGTGACTTTACTAGTACTGCATTACCTAATGATAATTTTCGGAAAAACATTCCAAAAACAAGAGCAGAGGGTAGATTACACCAATGTGTGGCTTATAGAAATCTCCCTTACAATTGGTGGAAATACCAGACTGGTGTTGAATTACTTGATAAACAAACCACTACTGATGTAGACTTACAACATATTATGAGTATTTATAATACAGGAGCATGGAAAATGTTATCGGCAGGTGATACTTTTGGGTACAATTGGATAAATAGAAATCCTGCCTGGTTTAATTTATGTAGTTTTAATAGTTTTTACGATATGTTAAACTCGGCTCCTTCATTAAGACCAATGCATGTAATACCGGTTGAAATTAATTCAAAGACTTCTATAGATACTAATACTACACCATGGGCGCCGAATAAAAACGGAAAATGGCAAACGAAAGCAAATCCAAATGTCGCTGGAGATGATTGGAATAGGACAGGTAAAAGTTGTTTAACACAAATGCCTATAAATCCTTCAAATCCACCTCCTGTATGTGCTTTAGATCCTATTCCTATCTTAGATAGTTCTAATAATCCTGCTAAAATTGCATTCTATTTAGTTGGCAACTACTTTTCCGAGATTGATTTTGAATATATATCTGGTTCACCTCAAATGGTAGGATTTATGTGTCCGGATTCTAAAGCAGCATTTATTAACACATCAGACAAAACTAATGTATGTATGTTTCCTAGTGGTTTACGTCATTACACTGGTGCTCCGAATAGTACTACCGCAACACCAATTCCTGGTGCAAGAGGTTAATTTACATTATCGTAATTATAATATTTTCATTCTTTTGTAGATTGCCGATGAGAAGATATATATGGCCGTGTATCAGTTCATCGAAGATGAATTTACATTGCCGAAACATCATCTTCCGAGATTGGTACATACAATTGGAGATGATACATCATTAAGAGTTAACGATGATTTCCATGATGCTCATGATCATGATAAGGTCTTAATTGCAGAAAGTGCCAAGAAATTCTTAAACTTTATTCGACTTAGATAAGGTATTATAATCTATCATGCAGCTGAGAGAAAAGATTTATGTAAAGCCAAACCGTGGAACACATATAATCACTTCCATGTCATATGGAAATCTAGCTGTGAACCACGAAAAGATTCCAGCTGGTATGCAGTAACTAAGGCATATCACAAAGCAACAAATTATAAACGTACAATTCCAAGAGCTTCATCTGCTTGCAATTATTACTGCAAAAAACCAAGACAAATAATTATTTCCTCCGATGAACCTATTTTACATGTTTTATCTTCATGGTGCTTAATGAATCATTTAGAAAAACCACAAGTACCAAAGCCAAATCAACCATCTACATCATCCATAGAACATTCAACCGAACCAATGTTCACAAATGTTAGCGGAGGTTCACTTAATCTTTTCAATTACTTAAATTGGGTATGGACTAGCAAATCATATAGATCGGAATCAGAAATGAAAGCTGACTGGATTGCTAGATCGCACAACCCAAATAACAATTTCATGAGAGCCATATCTCATCCCCAATACAATACTATTATAAAAAAAGTAATAGATTGTAATAGAATCAAACTTATTAATCAAACATTTTTAGACAAATATAACAAAAAAGATTGGGTCCTATATCTTAATAACTCTTCATATCTATCTTTGGATATATCTCTTCGTATATTTAGATTATTATTAAGAAAACAAAATATTGATATAAGTAAATTTGTAAACGATATATGGTGGATTCTAAATCAAAAATATCCTAAGAAAAATCTATTAGTATTTCAAGGTGTTCCGGATAGTGGCAAGTCAACTATCGCTAGATCAATTGTTGACCTATTCCAACATTCTGCAACAGTACAAGGAACGGCTAGTTTTCCTTTCATGAGTCTAGTAAATGTAGAAATCGGTCTTATAGAAGAACCTAACATGACCATGGAGACCTTACAAACATTCAAGAAAATTGCAGAAGGAGTAGATACTGAGGTTAGCATTAAATACGGTGCAGACCAAACTATAAAACGAACACCACTTATAATCACAAGTAATCCCGATTTCGACCAACACGCTCAGTACATCGAAAAACAAGCATTTAAATCTAGATATATAAAATATACTTTTACACAACCTAGTGACTTCTTGGCAAAAGCAAAAAAACCACTTAATACCTGCATATGGAATTCACTGTTCGAAGAATACGTGTTATCAGAAGATACTACATCAGATTCCGATAACGCACTTTCATCTTTTTTAGATGAATATGAAAAAGCTTCAACAACTACAACTCCAGAAGGACAACCTACATCATCTACTACAATTACCACACCAATCAAAAGAAATACATCAGATGGACGAATTGGACGGGATTCTACAGCTATCAAGCGACTCAAATTCGATGACTGACATCATGGATAATATAAAATAAAAATATATCTATTCTATATAAAAATATTAAAGCACATATAAGACTTTTATTATTAAATGCTCTTGAACTTTTTCGTCAATAAAAATAAAAAAAAAAAATATTATTGCGTAATAAAAACGATTTATATAACAATAAAATTCTTTATTCATTTATTCTTTCATGCATGATGCACCGTTTAGAACCACCGCCTTGCACATCTGACCCATATAATCCCTTGCTAACCGGTAAGTAAGGCATTGGTTCTAGGTTGGTCGTATATAGTAATTGTCCCAACGCCAAACTCCTTAGTCAGACACTTCAAACTTATACCCCTATCTAGTTTTTCCAACAGTTTAACTTTCCCACCCAGGGCAGATGAGGGTCATTTACAACAGCTGCACATCACCTAGGTACCTTTCCAGTGCTTTCTGAAATTTTTCATTTGTAGCAAGTCATGCCAGCACCTGAAAAACTTTTGGATTTTGGAAGTTTTCGGATTTTGTTATTTTGGATAAATGATACTCAACCGCTATAAAGACGTTATACACGCTTATTATCATGCTATATATGATCCTACAACGTCACTAATTGCACCTACACAATATAGAGAAGAAAATTGTCGAAAATCAGAAAAAATAAAATAAAGTATAGAAAAATTCTGAATTTCTGGGATGAAAATACTACAGAAAGCCAAGAATGTATTATTTAAGATTGCTCTCCTTTCCTTTTCAATAATAGCAGCAGCTGCAAAAGAAAAGAGAAGCGTTGGTGAGTGCCGTCAAGCGTGACGAGCAGTAGGCAGGTTCAGTTTAAGGCTCCACGTTCTCAGGATTGTCCTTCTAGATTAATCATTGGTAAGTAAAATTGGTGACATAGTAATCGTGAGTAGGCTGAAGAACACAAAAGCCAAAACGTTCTGATAACAACAACAAAGGTGAGGACAATAATCCACATCAAATAATGTTAATAAAGTATAAAAAAGAAAAAAAGGATAAAGTCCTAACAAATTTGAAAAGCGAATGGGAAAGATAACCTTTACATGATTGATACACAATGCGGGTATATGGCCGTTTTGTTGACAAAAATCGCGGAGCTCTGGGTTGAAACCAGGAACAGCTGAAGACTCGACCAGGCACATAACTGATATCTGGGGACCCAAATGAATTTAGCTATAGATAGGATGGACAAATATGCACACTGGTAGATATGTCAACGTTATGAATTTCCCCATGCAGAAAAATGAGCTCAAACCACCACCGGTGTTAGAAATATTACAGTATTCTGGAGCTTCATCTTAGCTATTAGCCAAACGCATTATCCAATCGAATAGTACAACAGGACTGATATATAATCGATATAATCGATATAATAGACCAGATATAATAGACTTAACAAAAAATAGGGGCTGTCTTTTAGACATGGTCTTTCTGTCTGATAAAAATATTATCAGCAAAAGAATTTGACAAATTTTCAAAATAGAAGAACCTGAAAACCGAAACTATAACAATTTGGCATTTAAACACAACCACTATTCCAGTAATAATGGGAGGAGCACTAGGATTGATTAAAAAGACTAGTGATACTCGTCAGGAACACAGAAAGCACATCACTATCTGAAATACAGAATATTGTGTTCAGAAAAATAACTATTTAATTGTAATTTAGTCAACAGCTTTGTACGAAAAACTTCCTTTACCTCAGGTCTCAGATAAAAGACTTGACAAAGGATTAAAAAAACAAAACAAAACCCAAAGCAACAAAATCCTAACAACAAACAAGAAAACTGGAAATAATAATATGAAGGAGAAAAAGAAGAAAATTGTCGGCGAAATGACCAGGACACGACCGCAAAAAGGAAAATTGACCAGAGAAATCAACTCACCAATAATATTAAACCTCGAACAATTACATTAAGACCAATGTGATGACAAACCAGAAAATGTTACTATGTGAATGTAGCAAATTAACACAGAAAGAATATAAAAATAGGCATGATTGAATTATTCACTGAGAATTGTGCAAGCACCTTGAGTTCGGTGAGATAATAGTATGAACAGAAACAGAAAATCAGGAAAATAGAATACTTTCGAAAAATCATGCAGATCACCTAATCGAAGCCAAAAGACAATAATTATCTGCAATGAAGAATGATGAGAAAAATATTTTTGAATTTAAAATATTATATTATTCGGACTATTGTCCTCATCTTTGTTGCCATATTTATCACAACGTTTCGGCCGTCTTCAGTTGGTTGGAATGTCGAAGTGAACCCTTTATTTCGCTTGCTGGGGTAGACTGTTCTAGTTTCACGTGCCATGTCTAATGGATGTCAGTTATCAGTTATCTCCTGTTAATTCACCTCTTCAAGTTTTCCAGTGCCTTAACCAGGCGACGTTTCATCTGTGGGAAAGAGGTTGCAGGTTGGAAAATACATCTCCTACAAACCGGTGTAAACGAGTTTGAACCCTGTCAGGGTTGGAAAGGGAGGCTTGAGCAGCACCATCCCAGATATTGCAGTGCTGCTTCATTTTTGATCTAATCTCATACAGGAAGCAATTATTTTCCGGAGCGGTAAAAGGAGCCGACCATTTTTCAGCATCTTTAGCGATATGTATGTGCAATGAATTAACACACACACACGCACACATATATTTTAACACACAGTCATACGCTGGTCTAAACAAACACATAGCAGCAGTAGGGTTTAAGGTTCTGTTTAGCTTTACCGAGCCTTACATGTATAGGAGTTCCGGATTGGTTACAAAAACATCCAATCATAGTCCGTCTTCCAGCTATATCAGCGGGAGATATGAAGCTCTAGGTCTCTTTTTGCTCCAATGACGTGGACAGACAAGTACTCATCAGTTTCTCTTCTGATGTCACATGTTGAAACTTTTCGAAGGCAAATATTTCCTCGTCTCATAAAAAAAACATTCTCAAAAGTTGTATATAAAGTTTGGGACCATTTTGATTATTTCCTCTAACTTTCAAGTCTTATTTCTTTAAAGAAATAAATTTATTTTTTCTGTTTTTGCAATTATTTAAATCAAAACGAATATAAAATAGCGCAGCCACTCGTATCCACGTATTCCAGGTAATTCCAGTTGCAGAGGCACATTTATTTTTGCTCAACAACTACGGAACCCACCTGTGGTTTATATTAAAGCTATGCTGGGTGAACCTTTACAGATTCTGGGAGAGTACGCGTTATCTAGCATGATCAACAATCTGAAGAGGGTCAGCAAACCCTCACTCAAACCCTCGGTCATGATGAAAATGAAAAATTTATTTCAATCACACTCTCGACACAATCTCGATGGAATTGAACCTCTAACAAGCAATCCAGTTGAAATATTTGTAAATTTCTGCTTTACATTTAAGAAAAGGTATCAGGTTGCAACAAAATTTTCAAAGCTTATGCAAATAAATTTATAATGCTTTTAGAAATGTGACACTCTAACCCTGGGCTGGTTGCAGCCCCATTTGTGACGATCTAACCCTTGGCTGGTTTGGGTGAAAACCTGATTTACCACGGAACCATTTGTGACACTAACTCCTCTGGTTGTCTTGGTCGCGGTCGATGTCTGGTTAGATTCGATATCAGCTTTGTCGTTCT